CCAGCCTGGGCTACAAAGCGAGCTCAAGGCCAGCCTGAACTGCATAGCGAGACCCTGTCTCAAAAAAGACCAAAAAAAGAAAAAGAAAGTTTGAAGCCTTGAATGCCCCTAGCTGGGGGGCAGCTCCCAGGAGCCTGCACAGAGGTGGCACTGAGCACTTTGGTGGAGAAACCCAGGGTGCCAGGGCTGCAGAGGAAGACAGGAGCACGGGGCTCCCCGGGGCTGGAGTGGCTGTCACTCCCCGCCACCCAGGGTGGCGTGAGGATGGAGGCGGGGTCCTGACTGGTGCCGTCTACGGAGCAGGCCCGCAGGTGGACCGCTTAGGCCGTAGCAGGCTCCAGGTTGGAGAAGACATGCTCAAAGTTGCCTCTCACACAGCCTCTCTGAGCCTGGGCCGGCTGGGTGAGGAACATAGCAGCATGCAACTCAGCGTCTCCTCTCACCAGCCCCATAAAGTGGGAAAAAACCAAAAAAAAAAAAAAAAAAGAGTTGCAGCTGGGCAGAGAAACGGACCTCAAACGTCAGGCTAGAGAGCAGTGCCGAGCACCAGGGTCCATCGCAGAAAGCCACAGGGCCAGAGGCCTGGGGAGAGCCCAGAGAGTCAGGGTCACTGAGCAGGCGGGGCCTGGACTGAGAAGGACCAGAGGCGCCACGGTGGGTCAGTGCGCTGGAGCCAGGGACACCCGGCCTGCAGAAGTCCCACCCCCTGCTACCGGCCCGAGGTACAGCACACAGCCAGTGACGGCTCTGCTGCACGGAGGTGGCTCCCAGGTCACCCTGATGGCAGGAGTGGGGAGAGCCTAGCCCGCAGGCCCCTGGGGGCAGCAGATGGCCCTGGGCCCCCGTCACGGCAAGAGGAGCACTGGCCTGGCTGGAGCCCGCGCTGTTTTCTGCCACAAACTGGTAGATGGCGTTGTCCGCGGAGACCTCCACCGGCATCAGTGCGCCGGAGAAGCCAAACACAGCCGCTGGGCGCCCCTGCCCAGGCCCGCGTGGGCTCGGTGTGGCCCCACAGGGAGGCGGCCTGGCTCAGCGGGGACCTGTCCCTGCGCGGGGCGAGGCCCGGCGTCCCCATGGCTCAAGTTCGTAGCAGATTAGAGCAGAGACCGCAGAGAGGGCGGATGCCAGGGTGGGCGCCGCACCCACCGGTGGGGCAGGACGGGCACCTGCGGTTCTGAGTCAGCCGGACAGCGTCCCCAGGGCTCAGCGCCTTCCCCTTCTTCAGCCGGGTCGGCGGGGCTCGGGGACACCCTGGGGCACGCGGGTGAAGGCTGCTGCTGCCCAGGGGCTTACACTAGGACTGTGGCCACTGGCCAACTCGGGGGAGCTGCCGGCGACGGCGGGAAGGCGGCTCCTGAAACCGTCCCCCACCCCTGGGCTCACCCACCCCGGGCTCACCCTGCGCCAAGGGGGGCCCTGCGCTGTGCCGCGGACGCGCGTGCCCGGCCGGTTGGCGGCGCAGACGGAGACGCCCGAGTGCTAGAGCGACACGCCGGAGATCACGAGGTTCCCGGTGCCCAGGACCTGGACGCCTTCCACGCCGCCGGAGCAGCGGAGTCGGCCGGGGCGGGCGAGGCCGGGGCGGGCGAGGCTGCGCTCCCGCGGCTCCAGGAGACGAGGGGCCGCGGGTGGCCGGGGGCGGGTGGGACACACGTCCTCCAGCGCCCAGGTCTGGTGCACCGCTCCGGCAGGTGCTGAGGCCCGGACGGGATCTCCGGCCCTGCGCGGGGAGACGGGAGGGAGAGCGCGTCAGGAGCGCGGAACAGGAGGCTTGAGACCCGGAGCTGCGCTCAGCGCGCCATCCGCGACTTTCAGAATTGAAAAGAAAGCCCTGCCGAGAGCCCCGTGGCAGTTTAGCTGGCGAGGAAGCCTTGGCGGATAAGACGTGCCCAGGTTACACAGGGTGGAGGAGAGAGGCGCTCACAGCAGCTACTTCGCTTCCCCTTGAAAGACTCCCGGGGTCCCCAGAAAGAGCCTGGGCAGGTGTGCACCCGGTGCGGTTTGTAACACCAGCACTCTGGGGCAATTTATCGAGCTTTCGAGACCCTGTCTCAAAATTAAAATAAGAAAGAATTAGGACCCTGGGGTGGTGGCACACCCTAATCCCAGCACAAGGGAGCTGAGGCAGGAGGATTGTTGCAAGTTTGAGGCCAGCCTGGGCTACAAACTGGGTTCAAGGCCAGCTTGAACTGCACATGAAACCCTCTCAAACAGACAGAAAATAAGAACAAGAAAGAAAGAAATAAAGAAAATGAAAAGGGGCTGGGGATTTAGCTCAGCGGCAAAAGCGCCTGCCTGGCAAGCGCAAGGTCGTGAGTTCGGTTCCCGGTACCGGAGAAAAACCAAAA